GAGGAGCTTTCTGATGATCTAACTTTTGAAACCTGAAGGAAATCTGTTCCTTTACCATGGGGTCCTCGTTTTTAAGGGACTTATTACATAACTAAATGAAAAGGAACAGTGTCGGCCGAGGCGGAAAAAAGAAAACAAGATAGGGTTTCTCCCCTGAAGGGTTTATTTGATTTTGCTTATATAAACCACTTCAGAGTAAGCCATCTCTGTGGCCAACAGAATCGTGTTCCGTAACCTTCCCGGGTCCCATTCCACTTTCAGCCTTCACTTTCCCATCAGATGCAGTCCTGGGCAAACACAGACACACACACACACACAACCACACCCAGCCCTCTGAGTCAGCTCCTAGGAGACATCACCTCCTCATGATGTCCCTACTCGAAATCGAAATCCAAATCGAAATCGAAATCTCAGTCTAAACCATCTAAATCTAAATCTAAATAATAAAAAACTGAATCTGAATCAAGCAGCAGAGCATTTCTGCCTGGGGCCTTGGCACCAGGGGAGGCCGGGAGCCGTCTGCGTGTGGGACTGTACTCCAAGGCAGCCCTGGCTTTACATTCGAGGCTGAGGACCTGGTGCTGGAGCATCCAGAGCTCGGCCCCTGGCCTCTCTCCTCCCTGCCAGGGGGACAATGTCCCAATGTCCCAGCTCAGGGTTTATTTTATATATATATATATTTTTTTTTTGAAGTATAGTCAGTTTACAATGTTGTGTCAATTTCTGGTGTACAGCACAGTGCTCCAGTCATATGGGAACTTACATATATTCGTTTTCATATTCTTTTTTACCATAAGTTCCTACAAGATACTGAATATAGTTCCTTGTGCTATATAAGGTATGAACTTGGTTCCCTCTCACGGTTTTAAATAACACCTGTACACCGAACACTCCCAAATTCTCATTCCCACAAGACCTTCTCCTGACACATTTCCAAACACCTACAAAACAGACCTGACCACGTTAGATGCCTAGAGCATCTTGAACTTTACAACGGGTCTGAATTTTAACTTCTGACCCGTCCCCTAGGCGGGCTCCGGCTCACAGCCTCCTCCAGCTCACGGGGGCCTGTTCCTCGCCTGGTCGTGAGCACACCCTGTCGGCTCCGCCTTCAGAACACACAGACAGCCTCCCATCGCCTTCAATGCTGCGTCCCTTTTATTTTTTGCCAGGGCAACAATGACAGCTTCCCCGAGGTGAGCGGGGGATGGAATGAACCGTCTGAAAAAGCACCTTCAAATTCCCCACTGGCTTCATGTGCTTTTAAGTCATGATAATTTCTTTGAAATTTCAAATAACATTAAACAAGGTAGACAGACACTTTTGGGGGATGTGTGTGTTGAGAAATCGCATTTTCAAGAACAGGATGTTCTGCCGTCCTTCTGATTTAAGAGAGTCTAATAGTTGCTGTGTGTCATATTGAGTATTTTACTCACTGCGCGCTTTTCTACACGTCCTCCTAAGTGTAAATGTGTCTTCTTCGCACGGTATTTGTTATATACTTAAAAAGGTAAATAAAGCATAGCTCCGAAGTGTGCAGGTTTTTGTTTGTTTGTTTGTTTGTTTTTGCAAGGCTCTCAACCCCTGACTCCTTGGATCTGCCCCAGGGAACAGTGAATAAGGGGCAGATTGTACCAGTGTCACTTTCCAGTCCTGGGAGAACCCAGCACAGAACCGTTATCTGTGGTTCACCTTGGGGTTTGTGTGACCTCCCTTATTTACTGCTTACAAATCTCCCTTTTGTTCTCCTTGTTCTTTCAAAAAAATTTATTAATTTATTTGTTTTAATGGAGGGACTGGGGACTGAATCCCGGATCTCCCACATGTTAAGCACGTGCTCTACCACTGAGCTAAACCCGCCCCTCTCCTTGCTCTTTTCCGACTCTTCATGTGTTAATGATTTACTGGACACTCACTGTATGCCAGACACTGTACCAGGCCATTCACTCAACTCAACAACTCAACAAATACTGAGTTTATCAAGTGCCAGGTGTTGTCAGAATGACGATCCCAGATGGAAACCACTGCTCCACGAGTAAATTCAGACGAACGCATGCAGAAGCCAGACACATGGGGTGTAGGCGGAGAGGGGCATCACAGGGATCAATCAAGCGGGGAAGAGGGCTGGGGGTGCTGGGGTGGGGCTGGGAGCCGCGCTCCTGGGGAACAAGGTTGGGGGGTGTCTGAACACAATCTCAGGGGAGGAGGAGCCAGACCTCAGGAACACTGCGTTTAACCCTCACAGTAACCAGCCGTCATAACGTTACATCATCTCATAAATGACAAAGGCGGCAGAGTTAGGAACTGGAGAGTCTGTGATTTCAACCAAAGTCTACATGACTCCGAAACCCTGATCTTAATTAACCTCCATCTGCACTGCTTTCAGATTCATCACGAGTGAAGGCTGAGTTCCATCGGGCAAGCGTTTCCATAGGTCTCCACAAAGGGAGATATTGCAGAGCCAAAAAAAAAATACAGTATTTACATAGGAAGGTCAAGTGCTTCAGCATCTATTAGATCTACTGGGGGGGTTGGGGGGGTAGTCAAAGCCGTAACTTGATCTCCTTAACCTGACATTCAATGCTATTGGTTCTTCTGGAGCTTAGACTCTGAGGACAGGACACTGGCTCGGCTCCAGGCATCCAAATGACTTTGGGGGAGACTTTAATTTAGCCCAAATCCAACCAACGTGGAAGGCATGCCAGCTGCTCCTTTAACACATGCAAATGAACATCACACAGTAGCTGGAACTAAAATTAAAGCCACCTAAACACAGCCCACTGCGGGGTGGATATTCAAACATCTGTTTGGACAAATGCATATTTCAAAAACTGAAAAAAAGAAAATATATATATATACACACACACATACATACATACATATATATATGGTTTTGGGGACATTTAAGGGACTGGCTATGGAGACAGAACCCCAGCCCACACGTGGATGAGCCGCGAGAAAGGACAGCCTTTTCTCTCGGCTCTAAGGGAAAGTCACAGCAGGAAAACCAGCCCCTAAACCACCACATGAAGTGCAGCTCCTGCATCTCACGGAGGTGTAATTCCAAGCGGCTGATTCCAGGCACCAGGTAAGATTTCTGAGCTAGGTTCTGCTAGAAGTAGACCCACCCTCCTGAGCTAGGCCACGCCCCTCTTAAAAGCGGTCCTGACCCTTTCTCGCCTCACATCAGCTGCTCCTCATCACTGGGCAAGTTATGAACATTCTTCTCCACGCAGCGAGGACAACCTTCACGTTCAGTGCCTCCACTGGGTGCAGAGGATCCAGTCAGCCTGGGGATAAGGGCAGTGGGGACGCATGCAGCTGGGCTCCTGGGCTCCGCCTCTGCAGACGTGAGGGTGGGTACCACCCTGTGGTTGTGCACACAGCTTCATTAAGGAACCTCCCAGCATCCCAGTGCCCACCACGGCCCCCGGGGGGTCCCTGGATCCCAGCTCAGCACCTGCTACTTTGCATAGGGCACCTACCAGCTACCCATGCTGACTTTGACCAGGAGCCCAGCAGGTTACAGGAAATATTACACAAAGACCATCTGCTGGGCTGGATTTAGAAAAATGATGAGATTCTTGGTATCACGTATGGTATGTATGCTTATATATCGATCATAAAACATTATTATATCACTCACACACACACACACACACACATTCCCAGGTCTGAAAGAACTGTACGTCTACACATCTGGGAGCTGCTCTGGGTAAACAGAGCTGACGAGAACCCAAAAATGCTATTAAGAGCAGGGAGAGGCACAAAGTTCCCCAGAAAGCAGGAGAGAAGTGGACAATCTTCCTTCGACGTAAGCTAAAAACACAGAAAACACAGCCAAACATTAACGCGTGTCCCTGTGCAGCCTGGCGGTTCTCGTCTCTTCAGCTCACCCGTCCCCAGTCCCTGGAACTCGCACCCAGAGACACAGGGCCCCCGGCTGGCCCTCCGGAGGCCCAGGGCTGCGTGTCATGGCTGGTCCCTGTCCTCCTGCCCGGAGTCCTCCGGCTCAGGACTCACCTGGGCCCCGGATGCACTGATCTGGGGCAGACCATCCGAGGGCAGCACTGCACACCCTCAACTCCCACTGCCCCGTCACCGCCACCTCCCCACCAGCCCCGGCAGGACGGACTCCTCCGCATGGAACCCCAGGACCCCAGCACAGCATCTGAGTCACGGTGGAAGTGTCTTCCACATGCCCTTCCACGATGGATGAACGACTCTCAAGGTCCCCGGGTGAGCAAGGAGGGTTGGCAGGCACCCAGAAAAACAGCTGCCCTCCTTACCTTTTAATAAAACCAGACCAACCCCCTGGGGCCCCCGATGTGAACAGCCTCCCAATCAAAGAGCTTCACTAGCAGGCCCTGGGTGCAGAGTGGCAGTGAGGGTGATGGACATGGCGCTTCCCTGATGGGTGGTGACAAAATGCACATGAGAGGGTCCTGAGACATCCCAGCTCGTGAAGGAACCAGAGGAAGGGTGCGAGCGAAGCCCTTCCCCGGAGCACATGGAGCGGGGAGATGGCCCCGGCCCTCCCGCCTCCGTGTTTCTGCTCAGTTGAACATCTATCCTGCCGGGCTGTTTCTTTCCCCTTTCTAGTCTCTAGAACATTACAAGAAGCAAGACTTTAGATCTTCCTCCCAGGGAGGCATGGACAATGGAGAATTACGTTCTGGGAACAGGTTTTAAAAAGGACAAATGCTAGGGACACAAGGGCCGTAACACAACTTTCTCTTGCTGACTCTCAGGCTCTGACCAGCAACCCACAGCCTCGGAAGGACGAGGACCTGATCCCAGGTAGTTCCTTCACTTCCTTCAGGGCAAGTTCCAGGGCCACGTGCCTCGGAACTGTCCTTGTTTCGGGACCCTGTAAAGATCCAGCACGTGCTCAGATGCCCAGAGTAACCCCAAAAATGAGCCTCACGGTAAAAGGGACCGGCTGTGAGGGAGCCAGTGGCCCTGGGTGGCGGCCCGGCAGCGGCTGGCTGAGCACTTACTGGTCATGCCTGGTGTCAGGGACGGCTCTGTCCATCCGCAGCTTGTCACTCTCCACTTGGTTGAACTTGTTGCGGGCGTAGGGGTCCTGGCCGGAGCGCACCATCGTCCCGCCGACGTAAGCCTCCTGGTTGAAGTCTCGCCACCGCACTTTCCCTGCAAGGAGCAGAGCAGAGGCTGTGGGACAAGGATGGACGAGACCGGGCGCTCGGCACACAGAGCGTGTGTCAGCGTTCCTGCTGCTTACGGCGACTTTAATCAGCAAACTCTCTGCAGACAGCCCAAGCAAGCCCCTTCACCCCCAAACGCTGGACCACTGAACGGCAGTCGTTCGCAATGTGAAAGTTAAAGGCTTGGACTGCGAGCATCTGTCCAGTGAACAAAACCCTACGCCCATCAAAGTTCCCACGAGCATGGCTCCACGCACACCTCGTCTAAGGGGAGACGCCATCTGCGTGCCCTCCTTTCCAGGGAGCACGGCGATGCCAAAAGCATCTCAGACATGGGGACAAACAGCCCTGCGCAAATGAAAAGCAAGCTATCTCAACATGTGACATCAGGCAAAACAAAGTACGTGCTTAAACAAACAAACAAACAACACCCGTAAAGGGCAGGGTATGACTACACCCCGGGGAGACCTCGGCAGAGACACTCCCTGCGGCCACTGCCGCCCTGACCCTGCGAGGAGGCAAGCGAGGGCCTGCCTGGCTGCGCTCTAGCCGCCTGGCACACGCCCCCAGGCACACAGGCAGCTTCGCACACTCACAGTCTGGCGCACACACACGAGGACATGCACAGCCTGCCACACGCACGCTGCCATCAGGAGGGAATGGAGGGGAGTGGCCTGGCCGGTCCACACACACATCAGCCTCGGCTCAGCTGAGCAGCTCAGCCGTTGTGGCTCTAGAATGCCCAGCACGAGGTTCTGCGAGGACACACAGTGGCCTGGGAGTTAGTGCCAGAGTCCGGGGTGAGGGGCAAGCATGGACAAGCCTGGGAGTAAGACGGCAGAGCCAGAGAACTGAGCAAAGGCATCGATGCTCAGAGGGAGACAGGTGGAAGGACAGACGGACTAGAGACAAAAGGGAGTCAGGACTCACTGTCCGCCTCGGGCTTAAATCACTTTTACCACTTGCTACCTATATGATCGTGGGCAAGGTTTTCATTCTTTGAATTTAAGTTTCCTAAAAATAAAGAAATACATAAAATGAAAAAAAGGTTTTTCACGAGGATTTGAAGTGCCAGTTTGGGAGATGTAGCAAACTCAAACCAAATTAAAAAAAAGGGGGGGGGGACAGTAACAGCCACCCTGCCCCCATGAAATGGTAAGATTCTAAGTGGTCACAAGTGCTGTGAAGAAATAGGAGAGGAAGCGCAGGCACTTCTGGGGCCGCCGTTCTATAATGGCTGGTCTGACCAGGAGGCACCGGAACCGAGGGAGGGAAGAGCAGCCAGTGCAAAGGCCCTGGGGTGGGAGCAAGTTGTCTGTTTCGGAACCAGCCAGGAAGCGCTGGTCGGGGAGGCAAACGGACTCCCCACTGCAGGTGTGGGGGGCTTCCGGGAGGCAGGGCAAGGTCTCTTCAGCAACACCTCAAATGCTGGGTTGTTTGGTCCAAGATCAATAATGAGAAATGACACTGGTGTGTGGACCTACAAACGTGCTTTCCAAACACAGGTTCCTTCGTACACAATTGAAAGAACGTTGCCGCGTTCCTGCCTCTGTTTCAGAGATGAGAAACTGAGATTCAGCTCCGTGTGATTTGTCTGAGGCCATGGAGCGGGAGCGTACATTTTCTATCTAAAAGCCCATCCTCTTCTTGTTACGATGGTTCTGCCGGGTCAAAACCCACATCTCATCACAGCTGCTTGCCGGGGAAATGATGCTCAGGGTCACAGAGGTCTGGCCCCCACCGACCCCCGCCCCGTGAATGTCTGGTGACAGGAGCCAGCCACGTGCCTGCGTTCTCCTCCATCTCAGAGAAAATGTTTCCGGCACGTGGTTTTGGAAACATGTTTTCCCTGCTAAGACAGCCCGAGAAGTACTTGTGGACCCTGCTGTAACCAGGAGGAGCTGCATAGGAGAAGCCCACAGTGGTGTCAGAGAAACGCATCGTTCTTCAACCTCCAAAGATGGTGCGACCCACTCAGAGGTACCCCGCAGGGACCCGTGCCCTCTGACTGGACATCCTCCTCTGCTCTCCGGGGGGCCCTGCCTTGCCCAGTGGCAGTGAATCTCCCAAGGCACACACCATTTTACTGGAGACAGGCGACGCACAGCTTTCCTTTCCTAAAAGCTTGGCAGTCTGTTACAGCACAGCGGGGCTTTCAAACATGCTTGACCATGACGTACAACTTACATCACAGCCCGATGTCACGATGTAAAAGCACGCGCATTATGACCTGTGAACACATACATGCTACTGTTTTGTGTGGGTGTGGCTCACAAAACTGGCTCCACCCTCTACTGATGGGTCACAACCCACAATGTGAACAACGCTGGGCGGAGGGACCATCCTAGGAATCAGTTCTTTCTGTGTTACACAGACTTGCTGGGGCCACAGCAGGGGCAGGAGAAAGCAGACGGAGCAGGGTTCAAGGAGGGAACACCTGCCCGGTCCACTCCCAGGCCGAAAGGGGCGCAGCCAGGCATGCACACAACTGGGAACTGGGCGGGCACAAGTTAGAGGCTGGAGAGAAGCAGTCAAAACAACAGGTACTGCGTCTGAATAGACCGATTTTTTTCTTTAATGACATCCACTGTATGTAACTTGCTGCTTTTCCCGAAAGAAAAAAGAATGACATTCACAAATCATCCCGCACTTTCATCACCTCTTTAAAATTTTCAGAAAGAGCATCAGAAGTGAAGACATTCCAGAAATATCCAAAAATCTAGTGAAAATGGACTTGGCTAAGCACAAGCAGTGGCTGGAAAATACCCCAGAGATACAAAAGTTGACACGAAAAGGCAAAAACCACCAAGATGGGAGGAAAACAGAACAGGCACCGAACTTTATTACACGAGCTTATGAAAATATTTATGACGAGATCCATTCCCAGCAGACAGACCGGTCTTAGGGGCGGTCTGCTAAGATGGAGGAGGAACTGTGCGACCCCGAGTGTTGACACCTCTGGTTCTGGAAAAAGGCGGTGCTTCCTGAAAATTCTGCCAGGTGAGAGGACCCACCTGCTGTGCCCTCATGTGGGCCCCACTCCAGCCAAGCCTGACCTCGGGCAGCCCCCCCGCCCTTCCAGGCCAAGCTCGCTCCCCCACCCCCGCCCCAAGAAGCACGAGGGCCCCCAGGCTGCTGCACCGTTTCTCCTGGGCTCGGGAGGGGCTCCTGGCAGGCGGGGACCAGCCTCCCGCCGGGTTCCGCTCCCACCCACCGCCCGCAGCCCGGGCTGCACCTGCGCCTGCTGACCGTCTGCTCCCAGGAAGCAACCGAGCCCTGCACGAGGCTCCCACAGGGGGTCTCCTGCCGCTGACACCCACACCTGGGGAATGTTCCCATTCCGCGCCAGACAGTGGGCCCTAGACCTCCCTCCATTGGTTTGCAGGCATTTCTCACAGTGCCCTCTGAAGGCCGCCCGCCTCCCGACCCCTCAGTAAGGAGCTACAGCAGCTCCAAGTGCGGCACCTCCGCCTCTGACCTGTCAGCACGAATTACAGAGATCGAATCACCACTCCGGTCGGCCTTGTCCCCCAGCCCTCCAAGGCCACCTGTGAACTCTGACTACACCGCGTCTCCCTCCCCTCGCCATCCACCAGAGCCCTCGCCGGGTGCACTCACAGGGGAGAAGTCCTAATCCTGGAAGGCAGGGCTGTTTCGTTTCAATTCACTTACTCTGTTCTTCTGGCTGCTGAGCTGCCTCCCAGGGCAGCCACCTCCTCCAGGAAGCCCCCCTGGTGTCCCCAGCTGCAGCCTCTCTCTGGGACCTTCCTCTTCCCTCTTCCCCACACACTGCTCCCTCCTGACCACGGCTTTCCCACACACCTACTGTCAGAGGGCCTCGCGGTGCTCGCCACTCCTCCGCCTCAGAACTTAACCCAAAATTCTGCCGGGGCAGAGCTCGAGGTGGCCCACCTCTAACTGCCATTTGCCCTGCTCTGCTGGCTCAGGGGGGCCCAGAAACAGGGGACCCCTGTGGGCCCTCACTGTGCCCTGTCTGCACATGGTCTGGACTCAGAGATACATTCATTTAAAGCAATTTGAGATGCATTCTTGGCATCGCTTTGCTGGGCTCAGCCTTCAATGTCCTCCCTACGGCATCCTCCGGCCCTTCCCAGTCTGGACGTCAGACTCCCTCTCCCTCCCACCCGGCCCTGGACAGCGACTCGGCCCTGGACTGGCTGCTCACTGCTCTCTGCTCCCTGGGGGCCCAGCCTGGAGCCAGCAGATGTTTAACGACGAAGGCGAACCCCCTGCAAAGCCCTCGTACGACCTGGACATCACCCACCGCCTCCACTCGTTCTGCTGTAATTCCAGGGACCCAGGGCACTGCGGTCACTCTGGCCTGCTCTTCTGCCCACCTGGTCTCTGATGGGAGCGGAGGCCAGTCCAGGCAAGGGCCGGGCTACTGGCAGGAGGAAGCAATGGTCTTCCTCGTCCAGCACCCTGACCTGTGTCCTGGAGCTGTCCAGTCCAGCTGACCAGCTGGGAAGGTCACAGTGCAGCCTTTCCTGACCCTCCGGCCGCACCATGCCACGTCCAGGCAGGGAGAAGACGGGTCCCGGGTAATTGCCTCTGGGAGAAAAGAGCCAGGACCTGAAAGAAGGACGAGACATCCCCCTGCTGCACCACCACGGGCCTGGCCAGTCCCTGCTCGGACCCCTGTGGGGAAGGTGTCCTAGGGTGGGGACCAGGAGGATGACTCCTGCCACTCCTGCCTGCTGGTCCCCTCTGCAGGACGCATACCTGTCCACTGACCACCCCGCTGTCACCACACGCTGCTCCCTCGGACACACAGCTCAGGCCCAGCAATTTCTTCTCTTCCCATCTCTGACTTACGTGGCAAACCTGCCCACTGATACTCTTCCTCCATCACCCGTGTGTCCCCCACAGAGAAAGCCTCTGCAGTCGGGTACTTCCCGGAATCCAGTTTCTTCTCTCCCCACTAACCCACCCACCAGGCCTTGAGTCACATCTATCTTTCCCTTC